ACCAAATACACCCTATGGACCAGGCTAAACCCACCTAAACCAGCCAAGATGAGATATGGACTAATGGTCCCTTGATTTAAGGGATCTCACCCCATGTTTGGCCTAAATTCAAATATCTTGAATATCATCACTTACCCTGAGGAGTTAACCATCATTAAGCATCCTCTGGCCTCCCTGAGCCAAGAAGTGACCATACCCTGACCAGCCACCTCCTCAACCACCAAAAATAGCCAGCTCAAGGGAGCCCTAAGTGGCCAAAATCCAAAATTGAACCTCCCTGGCTTAGCTCACTCCCATTGTCCATTGGAGCCTTTCTTCTCTCCACCTTAATTTAGCACCCAACTCCCAGCCCTGAGCTCCACCAGGAAGCCATGGATTTTAATTTAGTCCTCCATAGCTAAAGAGAGGAGTGCTTGGAACCTTAAGGAAACTCTGCCAAAATCTCACCAGAGCTTCTTCAAACCATCCCAAGTGCAATGCCCTTGCTCTCAGCCACTGTTAGCCACCCCATAGAGCCAGCCACTGTTATCCACCCCATAGAGCCAATTTCTCCACTGAAATTTGCCCTAAAACCAGAACAAATCTCTCCACTCCACCACAGTAAACCAAACTTCAATTAATTGTGCACACACCATCCCCACAGTGAAAGAGGCTAATTCCCCACAAAAGCCCCCTCTGAAATAGCCTCTAGCATAACTCTAGACCACACCTGAAATTGAGCTTGATCAAAATCATACCTTGACAATTCTCCAAGGCTTGAAAATTCATCTGGAGGTTTGTTGGGTCCAATCGAAGCTACCACAACCATTTGATTGAGGCCTCCCTTCTCAGACAAAGGTATTGAATCCCAACCCTAATTTGAGCCTTTTTTTATTCTCCATACATATTTACTAGATTTAATATTGTATAAACCATATAGATGTGTTATTCTAACCATATAGATGTGTTATTTCTTAAGTAGATGAAGGTTTAGAAACAAACCTCATGCAATTTGGTTGAGTCTAAGTGAAGATCTTAAGGTGTTAGTGTGAACGACTTACGAGATAGGTCACTTGGGGACAATGAATGGATGTCATTCGATCGCGTGTTTATCTATTGAATGGTCCTGATGAAGCCGAACGAGGATATGGTTTGTAAAGCACGGTCTGTGTGGCAGATATGTGGCTGGCGGCGTTGAATGGCAGAGCTCCGCGTGTTCTTTCGGAGCCGCCTAAGATCTAGTCAGAGCCACACTGGATAAGTAGAAAAATATGGATTTTTGAATTATTTTAAATGCCTAAACATCAAAAATCCATATCTTTCTCTCGAAAAATCAAAAAAATAAAATGAAAATACCCTCTTGCTCAGTGAACAAAGGAGAATAATGTGGGCTAAAAAAAAAAAATACTTTTTATACCCTGATTTTTAATGAATTAAATACCCTCTGGAGTATTTTAATTCATTATGATCAGACATTGTTCACAATGGCTTGAAATTTCTAAGGCTTATTCCTCATCATAGAGGGGATGTTCTCTGATTTTTTCAGGGTCAGAGGGCAACTCTATACTTTAAGCCTTAATTTTCAAGCTAAGTTGACCATTTTGGCTATTTTAATTATATAAATCAAAATATCATTTGGAAAATTATGTGAATAATTTTATTAGGTTTCCTATCGTCAAATATGTCTAGGAAAAATATTATGATGCTTTGAATTATCCTGTAAATTTCTATATTTAATTAAACGTGATTATCTTGTGTTAATTTTTATAAACTATATACTAATAAAAAATTAACAAAATCAATACTACATTGTTCATAAAATCATTTTTGTTCACTGTAAAAGTTTAAAAATTATTTGATTAAGTTCAAGTAATAAAATGAATTTTTTAAGGAACCTTGTATTTTTGTACAAAAGTAATTATAATAAATTAAGTACACTTGAGAAAATTATAAAAAGTGGTTTTTCTGAGTTCCTTGTCATCAGAGGCACTTAGGAAAAAAAACAATTATTTTTTTAGAAAATACTTAATTTTTTAGCCTTATTTTGAAATTTAAAATAATTAAAAATCTCAATAATATCAAAATATTTCAAAATGTGCCTAATTGTCCTCTGATCACTTTGGACTCATTAAAATATTTTTCCTAATTTTCTTAAGTTAAAAATAAATTTTAAAAGGTGGATTTTCCTTATTTTCCCATTAAAATATTTATAATAAATTAATTCAAAAAATCATGAAATTTTTTCTAAGTATTTATCTGACCTAGGGAAAGTTCTAATAATTTTCTCATAAATTAAAACTTTATCTTGGAAGGCCAAATAAATTAATTTCTAAAAATCCTATTTTCTAAGCTTAAATAAATAATTAAATTAAAATTTGAGAGGTCCACATATTCTCCTCTAAATATTGTAATTACCTCATGGATATGACACTCTAAACACTCAAAGTCATTTGAGTTGTGTTTAGTGAGTTATGAAGTGAAGTGCCCCTATGGTGAAATAGTCCTTTTAGACTTTGGTGCCCTAACAAAGTTTAGGATTAACCAAGAAAAAAATAGGTAATTTTTATCGTAATAAACATGTTTGGATGATTGAAATACAATGGGACTAAAAGGTAGAAACTCACTCACCACCCTTGCACAACATCAACAAAACCATAATTCTTCTAATATTTATGATTTGGAAGCCAATTAAGATCAGACGATTCTTAAATGAGGGGCTTAAGTCGGAAAGATGATAGTTTACTTTTCTTAAGCCCAAAGTTGAGGATGATGTGATCATTCAATTAAGATACATATCACTTAAAATCAAAATCTTGATAATCACCATTTCACCTATCATGATTGTTAAAGGCTTAGTAGTGACTTAGGCTCGAGGTCTAAACTTAATTGATTGGATTTAGAAGATAACATGATTGATGATTAACATATTTAAACACTACAAGTCTGACCTTAATTGTGGGCACCACAAGCTTAAATAACCTAAACTTGCTTTAGGGGCATCCACTCACATAACTCTTAAATGAAACATCAATTGATTAACTGAGTATCCTATCACATATTAGACAATCCAAATATAGTAATCCTCATATAAAAAGAAAAAGAAAGTAAGGATTGAAAATGATCCTGAAAGAGAAAGAAAAGAAAAATCAAAAGAAAAAGAAGAGCAAAAAGAAAAAATATGTGGGGAGAAGCTTGAGGAGATGCCTAATTAAAAATTGACTTCACTTGAACTATCTTAAAGGATTTTCCTTTATTGTTGTTGTTGTTTGTTTTTAGAGTGTGATAATTTGCTTTATTTTAGATGTTATGTTGTATTGTGAACAGTAGGATTGTAAAACTGTTTTTACATTGGAAATCATTTTAGTATTGTTGTTAGTTTTTAGTACATTGTTGAATGTATTTGTAGTAAATTCTTTCTCAACAAATTTTTATATGTATTATTTGTTATTTAATGTTTTAAGTCTTGTAACTTTTCATATTAGCATCTGCAATATTTCAGAGTTAAGTTTCAATATCATAACCTTCAACAGGTAAGTCTTTTCTTTATATATTAAATGTTTTCTTTCATCCTATATGTTAAAAATTTGGGTGTAGACTAAGTCTTTTCTTTGCATATGTTAAAATTGAGTTAAGTTTTTATATTAAATGCTTTTTTTATATAACAAATGACATATGTTAAAATTATGTTAAATGTTTTCTTTTATCCTATAGGTGACCACCCTACTAGCAATCTGTTGAAACACCTCAGGGATGACAACCTCAAGTAGGTAAAAAACAAATGACATTTCAACGTGTCAGAGAATTTAGAATGCACATGGATGATTCAAACGATGCAAGGTGGTCAGTAGGATCAGACTAACCCTTATAAGATTCTAGTGATGGGAACTTAAACTTCTCAAGGGGTTTAGCTTCTGAGACTAGCGGGAGAATCCACTCTCCAGCTAGCGTGGGGCTTTAGTGCACCTAAATCATTGTCATCAGTGCGGATCCAACACCATCCTGGTATTGTGAATCCTCGACCCTTTATGCGCAATAATTCAACCTTCTACCATTGTGCACCGACTCTTCTTGAGGGGTTCTGCTCTCTTGGAACATGTTCTCTTTCTCGAGCTATAATGGCTCTGCTATAAGATTCCTCGGCTCCTGCATCTCTCTCTATACAAACCCCTTTACGAATTCTCTGGTGCAATCCATGTCTATTGCTTCTCTCTAGTGGCTTTCTTCTCCTAGTCGTGCTCCTCTTTTTATTGCAGGTTTGAATCCACACTCACCAATGCTGAAAATGAAATTGACATACCTAATGAATAGAGCGTTATAGAAAATAGAAGAGAGAGAGAGAGAGAGAGAGAGAGAGAGAGAGAGAGAGAGCAAAGTAATGAGCAATAGGAATGTGTAATCATTATTTGATAAATGATCCCCTATTTATAGACAAAGAAGGGGGGGTACAAATGCAAGATTATATTCATGCCCTTCCTTTACTAAAATGATTAGGATTATTTTAGCATTTTACATGTATGAGATTAATGTTCTCATTGGTGGGACCCTTAGAGTGAAGGGAGTCTATCGATCGGTTTGTATTTTAGGCCAGGTCGATCGATCAGGCTGATGAGACTGACATTTTGAAGGAAAAAAAATCAGAAGGTAGTGACTGTCGATTTGCCTAGATCCATCAGATAGGTTTCTATGATTTGTTCCAAGCAGATAATACTGGTTGGTCGATCTTTCCGCCCGTCACTTCTGTTTCTCTATGGAACCGACAGATTCACTCAAGATTTGTGCTAACACATTTTTGATATACAAGCTAAATCAATATCACTAATATTTTAATATTTTTTAAATAAAATGGCATAAGTTAATGTGAAATTTAAGTATGAGATCCATAAATAAGGGACAATTTAATGATTTATATATATATAT